TTTTAAGAAAACTCAAAAAAACTTTTTAAAAATAATTTTAGCAGGCAAATTTGCCTGCTAGACGGTTTAAGGGATAAAGAAACTTGAATCTCTTAAAGCGCAGTAACTGCATAGTAACCATGTAAATTTAATAGTAACTATGTAGTTGTTACGTCATTACTATGCAGTTACTGTATATTAAGATATTAAAGTTTCTATAAAGAAGTTACTGATAACGATATATTGGCATACTTACCATGGATATATAAAATACTCTTATAGTAGACTGCTCTCTATTATACCTAGTCGAAACTAGGATTAAAAATTTAGTAAAATATAAAAGACTCCGGGTTTCTTGATTAGTAATTTATATTTAATAAGAGAATCCGAGTATTTCTGTATTTAATCAATAGCCCGGGTACACAGTTACATTGTATAAATAAATTGATTGTTATATAGTATACTATGCATATCTAGGTTGGCAAATTACGTGATTCTATGTAAGTTATATATTTAATTGCTGATCCCATGTTTAAACACCCTGTGTACAAATAGAAATGCCTATACAAAAAATAATAAAATCTTTAAAAATTAATAACTTTTGATCTTTTAATTCAATTTGGATAATTTAATTACTAAAATGTTTCTCTTATAAAGACAATTCTAATAAATCTAAAATTAGATAAATCTGATTATATAATTTTGAGATCGTAATAATTCATATTATATTTACTATAGTAAATATAATATAAAATATTAACAATCTCATAATTATGTGATTAGATTTAGCTAATTTTAGGTTCATTGGAACTGTCTTTATAAGAAGATTATTTTGGTAGTCAAGATATCCAAATTGGATTAATAGATCAAAAGTTATTAATTTTTAAAGATTTTATTATTTTTATAATAATAACTTTATAAAATATTATATTATTATACATTATTAGTTTATATTATAATTAAAAGAAATAAAATATATCCAAACTTACAAAAGAAGAAAAGAAAAAATGCCTGAAAAATCTTCTGTCCAAGATTCTAATTGGAGAAACAGATTTTGATAGGCAGGAAAAAAGAAAACTATAGATTAAAGGCCTAACTACAAAGAACTCATATAATGGAATCTTGGACCTTCTAAATTTATCAAAAACGACATCCTATATTACAGAACTTGCCACACACATAATATAGAATAGCTTCTATGATTTTATTTAGAAAGACAGATGTATCAAGATTGCCAATTGGGAAAAAAACTATAATATAAAGAAGAAGGATAAAAGAAGTAAGAAGACCAAAGAAGTACAGCCAAAGAAGAATACTACAACTATCCGAAAAGAGAAAACCAAAAGAGAAGGGTTTGAATCATTTGTAAAGGATAAAAAGAAATATAATATATAGTATGATGTGATAGGGAATTGGATACAAAAAGGTATAAACCCCTTTTGAACTAGCTTATAAAAGAGTTTATTTCTAGCTTATCTATAAGCCAGTATGATAGATTGTGCTCAGGTAATCTTTTGATAACCAGGTGAAGTTGGGCTTTTATTTAGTTTTAAAAATTATATATATAGTTTATATATACTACAAACTAAGAATTCGAGTCACAGCAAGACCTGTAAAAGAAATAAAAAAAAAAAGGAATAAAATATATAAATTTTAATTATTTTATTATTTAAATAAATATTTTTAAATTTGATTGATTATTATATTAAAAATGTATTTAGAAAGAATATTTTTATATACAGTATATAATTTAAAAAATAACCTGTATTTAAAGAATATAAAACATGCACTTATTTTATAAGTTTAACTTGGAACCAGACTTTTTTTATGTATATAGAGAAAACCTGTACTTAGAAAAAGTCGACTGTAATTAATTATTAAAAAAATTTGCTATTTTGAAATATAGCAATTTAGTATAGTGGTTTAGTAATCACTCTTTTCAAGTAGCAGGTCTAGAGTTTGAATTTTACAAATAACAAAATTGAAAAATAGACTTGCATTATAGTTGATGATTATTGATTATCAATTAGATTCAGAATCAAATCTGTAATCTTAATTATACCATCTAGTAATAAAAGCTTTAATATAATAAATCTAGAAAACCAGAATAACTAAAAACCTATCTGAGAAGTTTTAAATTTGGAGATAGCAGTGATTTTTAATAATATTACAAGAAGGCTGAATTTAAACCAGAGCCCAAAATCAGAAAACTGAGTGATTAGATCTTTAAGTAAAAGAACACACTAACCGAACTGTCAGATACTAGATACACTAAAGGAAAAAAATATACACTCTAAAAGTATAGACCAAAGGAAAGAGTATCTAAAGTCTAAGCAGACCAACTCTTTCAAGTTGTTGGCTAGAAGTAAAAGAGAGACTGATAAAGAATCTAAATAAGAAGACAGTTTAATTGTAAATATCAGAGATGTTGTAAACCAAATAAGAGCAAGAAGTATATAATAGACAACTAATTAGAAATATTGGTGTTTGAGAAATAATCATAGTATGGCAGTACCTCAAAAGGTGATATGAAATACAATTATAATATAGCAGATTAATATATACTAATTAAAAAGAAGTTATAGAAACATGCAAATAAATATATATATAAGACATGTACTATTTTGTTAGATTTACTTCAAAGATAGTTAAGTGTCTTAAGGTAGAGTGCAAAATTCAAATTGGATAGAAGCAAAATTTAATAAATAAATGGTAAGTAATATCTAAGGGTTAGAGGGCTGATGGTGGTAGTTAAAACCAGATGGTTTAAATAAGCAACCCATAGTTAGATGCAGGTATAGCAGATAGTGTAGAACTCTTAGTATAGTACTAACACTTTGGGCAAACTACTTAAATTAGGTACCAAAAGTGCATATGTGGCTTGATGTATCTATATTATAAAATGTCATTTATACTCTAATAAAAAGTTTTTTAGACCAATGAGATCACCTTACTATTAAAAAAAAAATAAATAAATTTATAATATTTAAATAAAAAAAAATTTATTAAATTTGATTAAATGATTGCTAAAATATTCTTAATCAAAGTTTTGTTAAAATTTTGGTATAGTATTTTAATAGATGTTTTAAATTCTTTTAAGCCTTAAATCAAGAATATCTTAGCAATTATTTGTTAAATTCTTATATAATTTGTAATTTTAAAAAGATATTTTTATTAATAAATTAATAAAAAAACTTATAAAACAATATAATAGTAATTATACTGTAATATAATTGTGATTATATAGAAGTACAGACAACTTTTATTTATATCAACCTATTTGAATTGGTTTAAATTATTAGTGATATTAACAAGAAATTATATTAAAGTTAATATATATAAAGAAATTTTAATGGATGGATGTTCTATAGAATAGGTGGGCAATATAAAAAATAAACTCCGCTAACAATTAGTAATCATTAATAAATATTTAGCGGAGTTGTGGAGTTTGCGAAGTTTGCCCACCTATTCTATAAAACATCTAAAAATCCACCATATAAACCATGTATATACTTATATAGAGTTTGTAATTAAATAGGTGATTGTATGGAAAAACAACTGTATATTAGCCAATTTTTTAACCAAATTTAAATATATTAACTAGTTTTTGGCCAATAAAATTTTGTTTTTATAATTATATATATATATATTATATTTAACAAAAGTTTAATAATTAGATAAACCTAATTAATTTAAATTTGTTTACACATTGGTCGGTTCTTATTTAGTAATATGCAGTATACTGTACTATATATATATATATATATATATAATTATAAAAATAGTTTATAATCTCTGCTCAATTAATAACATTTCTCGAGAGTGTAAAATAATAGTATTCGTTTTTTGATTTGATTGGACGATGATCACGTTTGATCAGCATAAACTAGCCAATCATATGAATGTTTCCTTATGGAGCTAACATACAGAGCTCTCTTCGAATTTAATCGAAGACACCCTATAAGAGTTATAACGCTTCATGTATTAAGACGACTACTACTAAAAGTGTTAACGAAATATTCAAACTATATAATTATTGACCGTGTATTCAACTTTTCCATTTTATAAGAAAATTATGGTTGCGTGTTGAATAATTATTGCATTATGTAAATTAAACATACCTTGACTCCTTTGATTGTGAAAATATGCCATAAATATCCTGTCATTTTGGTACACATTCTAACACTACTACCATGACAGCGACAACATACTATTCATGAAAGATACATATCGGATTCTTAATGAAATAACTGTTAGGTGCGTGAATACGCAAAGTTTCAATGTTCTGTTTTATAAAATATACAATAATATTAATGATCATTATAATGTACCCCTTCTCCTATATGCAAATAATAAAAAGAATCGTTGAAATATGCAAATAAACAAATGCCATTGTGTGGTTATTCTTATTGAAATTCATTACACCAAGCATGTTATAAATATAATAAAGGTACTAATTTAACACGATCAAAAATCAAAATCTGGTGGAGAAATAGATGGCAGATCGGAAATAACAACCCTCGTCCTCGCCCTCCGAATAAACGCTTATACAACATCCATGACAGTCAGAAATAATTGTTTACTTATCGTTGCAACATAGCCAAGGTTTTTCGAGCCAAAGCCACAATCTCCCCTTCGTCTGAATCATCGTCATCATCCAAAGGTTCCTCACCATCAGGAGTAACACCATATTCTGCAAGACGATTTATAGCAGACACAATAGTATTCGATGATTTTATATTTGTGAATAACTGTGAATCTATTTGAAAAAAAATACAATAAAAATGCAGTTTCTATCTAATTAACGATTGTTAGTATTTGAATAACTAACCTCTTCCTTCCAGAAATTGAACAATTGTCCAAATAGCAATATGCTGGAATGTTTTATCTGTACTGTCCAAAAAGCGTTGCAAATATCCATGTAGACCACCGGCAGGTTGTTCCCAGACTTTAACAAATGGTGAATAATCTTGAACTATAATGGTAATTTAATATAAAAAGACATCAACATTTTTCTTTAGACAATAAAGATAATTAAAGTAGACTTCACTAACCTTTTGATGATAAATTTCCAATAGCTGCAGCACTGTTGCCTTGCACCTCAACACTCGAAGAATTTGTCAAAGGAAGTAATACTTGGCATATGTTAAGTTTTAACAGTCGCGGCTTCAATTCATCTATATTAAAAATATTATCTGATTAGACACTCGACGACGCGGAACAAAAAAATGGAAATAGACTTACCGCTTAACGCCAAAACAGCCACACAAGCGGTCATCTCACTTTGTACACTCATTGGGACACTTAATACTAATTCCCGGATTCGTTCAACGGCTCCTGCATCCACAATTGCCCTTTTGTTTCTTTCAGCGCTAGCAGCTAAATTTCTTAACGTGCTAATCGCATGACATTGAATCTCTTCATTTTCTTCATACGCCAAAAGTTGAATTAATGGAGACAAAAATCCTGCATCGATTATAGGTGATTCATTAAGCGGGTGAATGGATATATTACGAATACATGCAACCGAAGAGAGAATTAGAGGTAGGAAAGATGATTGAAGTAATCGAAGTAGTGGTGGTAGTCCACGAGAACGAACTATTTCAAGTTGATATTTTTCTAAATAAAAACAAAATCAAATGAATTACAAGTGCACACAAAGACAATTCATTTACTAAATATATTTTACCATCAGATGCTAGATTTCTCAATGCTAATGCGGCTTGACATTGCACCTTCAATGAAGTAGAGTCCATTAACCCAATTAAAGATTGAACAAGCCTTGTTTCAGACGAAGCAAGTTTCTTTCTATTCATCGCTAAAAAATTCACCGATTTCAATATAGAACAAAATGTAAAATATGTAATCACAAGAAATACATGTCACTCATGTTAAATCGGACATTCATTAACTAGAGATTATATATAATCTCAATTAAATATGGAATTATAATATTATAAATCCTAAAGTCTTAGCACTGTGTAAAGTATCCCCAACGAATAGTACCCTCTATGATTAAGACCCGGGTATTATTCATCGCCCATCTGAATAATACCCGGGGTATAATTATGATATATCCCCTACATATAGTACCTGGTTCCTCACACAATCAATACCCGCGGGTACTATTCAATATAAAAAATGGAGTTCTTAAATAAGACCTCGGGTACTGTATACAGTGCTAGACAGTAGATTTCGTGCCCCTCCAGTTTAGCGAGGGTGACATGTACAATTAATTGAACATACCATCAACAGCGATGTTACTAAGTGCAGTAGTGCAATAATATTGAACATCTGTATCTGGTGAATTCAAGAGACCAACTAGAACAGGTATTGCACCAGCGTTAACAAGTTGTTGCCTATTTTCATCTAGATATGTAGCAAAGACGTAGGGAAAACCACTGTTAAAATAATAATATCAAATGAATAAATTTTTGATATGTCAATAAATTTACCTGAATGCGTCATATTTAACAAAGCTCCCGTTGCGTTCCTTTGAACACGCATATCTTTCGAACGAGCCAAACGTGTAAGTGGAACCAGTGCGCCTGATTTTGCAATCTTTGACTTATTTTCGTCTGAGAATTACACATGATCGTAAAATGTGAGACTTAGCATTTTGTGTATAAGATGATATATAAATTTACCATGCGTCGCCAAATTAGTAATGCATCCTACAGCGTTACATTGAACTTCGACGTTTGGCGATAACATTTGACGAATCAATGGCTCCAATCCACCCATTTGAACTATGAGCAGTTTATTCTCAGCTAAAAGAACAAATAGGGGAGATAATTACTTGACGAAACGATGTAGGATTAAGGATTAAATGAAATCAATTTAAATCCATTATTACGAATAATTACTGTTTACTGCCAGGTTCCCCAGTGCTGCCGACGCTGCCCTTTGAACTTCTACATCATGAGACTGAAGAAGATACATTATTGGTTCCATAGTTTCGCGGTCCACTTCCCTGACATCTTGGGACGATTGGTTTGATTCAGACAAGCAAAAAAAACCAAATTAAAACGCATCTTTTAAGAATAATATTCAAATAAGAAAAGAAAAAAAAACCTTTTTCAGTTATCTCCGCAAAGGCTAATGCTGCAGACCGCTGTAAATCCACGTTGTCAGAATATGCTAATGTCGAAAGCGCACGTAATGGATCTCCTTCGAAGAAATTGGTATCCGCACGATCTAGAAAGCAATAAAATACAAATCTGAGAAAAAATTCATCTCACCGGTTTAAAACATTAACAATGCATATACGCCTTACTTTCTAGATATGTTAGTAAATCAGCCACAGCTTCACGTTCGTTCTCCAGTAACAAAGGTTCATACAATCCACCCCTCGACCTCTCTGTAAGATTGTGAAAACTCAGTAACAGCACCAGTGATCTTATATACAAATATTTACGACATACTTCCGAAAAAACAAGATAGGCAAATTCCCATTATATATGTATTCTTTATTTTCTAAGTTTTATTTTAAGAGTCAGTTGACTAGAGCACAACTAGAACAAGTAGGGTGTAATTGATCTAGGTTATAAAGAACGCGAATTAAGTAGCATGAATCGGTGAAAATCTTGTTATATAAATACACTATTAAAATACAAAATTCCTGTCTTCAACTTAAAGCGCGAAATGAAGGAATAGGAAGAGCACACTACAACAGTTATAGCGCTCACCGTTGGTAAGTGCGAGGAAAAAAAGAAGGTTGTTCAGAAAGATAATGTCTTTCACTGTCAAAAGAATTACGAGATATGAAACGCCGAGAATTTGTGCAAAAAAAAGACCGGGTCAGCTCAAGGACTATCGTAACTTTTTACTATTTTTAGATTCTCAGTTAATCGTCACGTAACATTATATCACCTCTCTAAGTGATATAACGATTTAAGTGCTATTACTCTTCTCTACCCGATGCAATTCGACAGTCCTCTCAACTATGGAGTTTATGAGCGACATTGGTTCCGGTATCGATGCCTATCGACCTTCAATATTTGAACTTATTTCACAAGAAAGCATACAGGAAATGATTCAGCCTGCTGTTAGATATGTTTTATCGGTAAGTACAGTTCCGGTAAAATCAAAAAAAAAAAAAGAAATAATCGGACTTTTTTGATTAGGTTTTTGCACAAAGATATCCAAGGTATTTACTCAGATTGGTAAATCGATTCGATGAATTATATGCTGTTATAATGTTGTTTGTTGAAAAACACTATTTGGAGGAATGGAGTAGGTAATTTTTCTATTTTGTGCTTCAAAGAGGAAAAATAAAAAATTTATAAATTCACGTATAAACTCAATTAGATGCATCATTTTTCGAAAATTTTTATGGATTAAAAAGAACAAGATTTTTAAGGCCTAAATTAAATTTGCCTGACGCAATACCAGATACCAAATTACAAAAGTTAAGGAATATTGACATTTGGAAATCCTTATTTGTGTTGGTAAGATAAAACTTCACATTTATTTATCGGTTTATGAAACATCAATGTTTATGAATTTATTGATCTCTTTGATTCTAGATTTGCGTCCCATATGTCAAGGCTAAACTCGATAATTTATATGAAAAAATTAGTGGAGGAGCCGGTGCGAGATTATTGGGTGGTGCGTTTTTCATTAGGGAGAATATCAATGAAAGGCAACACATTCAGGTTTAAATTCAAAAAAAAGAACAAAAAAAAAAGTGAAAATTGATCGGAAAAGAAATGATTAACTATATTTATCATCAGGCTTCTCGTAAAGAACGTATACGCCGTTCTCTATGTCGTGTTTTCAAGTATTTTTACCCGTGGGCAAATGCTTTATATAATGGGTCGATTTTACTATACAATATCGCTTATATGTATGATAAAACTCCATTTCATACGCCTTGGTTAAAACTTATAGGCATTCAAATACGAAGAATGAGCGCAGAGGATTATGTATGTTATATATGTGTAATAATTGTTTTAGAGTACATTAATGATTAACCATAATTTTTATGTGGCTTTACTTATCGTTTGTAGCGTGAGCATATAAGACATCAAAATCAATCACGTCATTTTGCTAATTTTCGAGATATGACGAAGCTTCAAGTTACTCGTTATATTTTAGCAATGATTTTTTATCAAGGACTTGATTTTCTTAAAATCTTGTTACCAATGTCTATTTTCTTTTTCAAATTTTTGGAATGGTGGTATTCTAGTGAATTTTCTAAACGTTCTGGTGGTGGCGATGATATTGACATACAGCCGCCAGACATTGTGCTGGTAAATTTAAAGCTGTTCTCATATTTTTGACCTCCAAAATTTACTAATCTGTCATAATATTTATTGACAGCCTGATCCACGTGGTATTCCACTTCCTGAATATCCTAATATTTGTCCTCTTTGCTCTTCGCAACTAACGAATCCAACTGCGATTCCCTCTGGCTATGTCTTTTGTTACACGTGTATATTTAATTATGTTGAAGAATTCAATAGATGTCCTGTTACATTGATAAAGATTAGAACCGATGAATTAAGAAAAGTCTACAATTCAGCATCATAAATATTATTTACAGAGACCTAACGAATTTGATAATTCTTATTGCTATCATGGCTGTTAGGTCGGCTTTTAAATACATTTAATATACAGTTGTGATAACCATAACCTAAAAGAGCAATCTAGCAGGCTTTTTTGTAATGCTTCAAAGAGAAAGCACTATGCTAAAATTATCAAAAATTATTTTATTTTTATGTTTTAGGTTGATATATTTTTATATATATATAAATATGTATTGTATTTCAAATTGAGATTTAGATTCCAAAACAACGTATTTGATGAAATAATTTGGAATACCCATAATTTTGTTGTATTGAATTGGAGTTATTTAACGACTTGAGCACATTTTAGAATTCTATTACAATCCATTCCGACGTACGACATATACACAATTTAATTATTGCTTAACTACAATCAATTGTCAGTTCATTGAATAAAGTAAATAAAAAGAAATTTTGAATTTTAAGAATAAGCTAGTGAGTGACAATTAATTTGATCACGATAATTATGCAATATTATATAAAATAACTGAATTAGATTTTATAAAATATCGATATTGTTTAATGAATATTACTAACCATAACCGGCGGTGACCATCACCGGGGTGCTTAGATCTCAAAAACGTACTAAGTAAACGGGATCAGGTATCCTAAGTAAAAGTGTTCAGGACCCCCGAAAACCTCACGAAAACTAAATTCAGAACCTTATATTAGCTCTATATTATATTATATAAAAAAAAATAATAATAATTCTTAATACCCGAACCCTAACCCTAAAAATATCTAGGGGCGGTGATGATCACCGCCGGTTATTTGTAGTGATAAATTATGATTTTATTGCTATTTTGCTTATAAATATCCTATATAAAAAACAACTTTAAATTTATTTTTTAATTGGTGGTAAATTTGTTTGCATAAATACTATAAATATGTTTCTGATCTACTTTTTAATTATTTAAAATATTTCAAATATTCTAGTATAATACTTCATTTTTGCTACAACTATAATACACTTTATATATTATATTTATAATTAAAAGATATAAAAATATCAAAATTGAATATAGTGTTACAATACTATAGCCTTTTTAGTACCAATATACAGTAGCAAGATAACAAGATCATTTAGTGCAGTAATATATTTTATAAATATATATAAAATAAAAAGTAAAAGAGATATTTTACTTTAAAGAGATAGACAATTTAAAATAGTAACAGTATATAAAGACTAAAAGTAGTAATAAGCCTTGTCTATAGGAATTACTCTAGAGAGGAAATATTATACTTTACAAGATAGTAGTAAGAGAGTAAAAGAGTTAACTAGATTCTATAAGAGAAGTAGGAACTTTAACTAAGCAGAAGAGGCAAATATACTCTTTATATATTTTTTAAATACCAAGCAAAGGTAATAGAGTACTTGAAGAAGTTGGAAGCTGTTAAATACTGTGTTAAAAAAGTTGAGAAAGTTAAAACCCATGTTGTGAGAGAGTTGAGGATCATGTTGAGAAAGTTGAAAGATATATTAAAAAAATTAAAAAACATATATTTCTTTGTATAATTTTTGATACTATTTTATATAACTTAGTTATAGTATATGATATAGTAATTTTACAACTACTCTTCCCAACGATCATTTAAACCAAAAATCTGACTAAATAAAAAACAAAATTTTTGTTGGAGATACGTGGCTATAAAGTGGTTTGTCTAGAGGTTAATGTATTTGCTAGCAGGACTTCTCTATTAGTTGACATTTGGCATGCAAGCCAAGAGCATTATTATACAAAATAACTAGCAGGTGGTGCCCTTGTATGAAAAATCTTGGTGGTGTTTGGGGTCGGCCCCATCTTCATTGATGAAGCTATCTAGCTATTACTTCAAAAAAGAACACAGAGGAAACAACAAATCTTGCATTTTTTTGAAGCTGCACTCCTTTACTTGGTTAAGTGGTACCTTTTTTACCTCCTCTTGTTTTTCTTTGTCAGTCTTCCAAAATTTTCGAAAAAAGTAGAGATTTGGCTTACCCCCTCCAAAAGATCGACATTGTTTACATTCCAAATTCGAACGAACTCAGTAGAATGCAACCACGTGACGTATTTATTTATGGATACAGCGCTACTTCACGGGAGTCAGATCGGGACCCCGGATAATGAGATATCTGAAGTTGGTCGGTTAGTCAGAAAGGAAAATATAGATTAAGGCAAAGCTTTACAATAGAGATATACAACCATTAGATTTGTTATATAATTTTTTAGCCTTGTATAGGTTATAATAGTGCATTTTGGTTATATAGAGAGGTGAAATCCCTCTCGAATTGTTATCTTTTTTCTATAAAATGGTTTTATTTTTTCCTGTTTTTTTTCTTTTTTTTGGGTTTTTTTATTTTTATACTTCGTTCATTTCCCCTATTCCTCCTTTTATATCTCCTTTTTAGTCATAGGTTGTTTTTTTTTTTTATAGATTTTTTGATAAGATAATTCTAGTTTGTCCGCAAACTGGTGCAACGGGTTGTACTTAGGGCCATAAGGTAACCGAGTGAAGTTGGGCTTTAAGTTCTATAAATTAATGTATATAGCTCTTATATATATTTTAATAAAAAGTAAGCTACGGCAAAACCTATGAAGATTAAAAAAAAAAAAAAATTATAAAATAATATATTTTAATTAGAATAAAATAAGTTAAATATTAGTTATAAATTAATTTATATATTTTATACTGTTAAGAAATATATCGGATATATTGATTTTTGTTAAAATATACCCAATATGCATTCTATTGATTTAAATATTATAAACATATACATCACTAATAAGAGGCATATTAGGTATATACTAATTTAGTTTATATGTATCCAATATTTATTAGATATTTATTGACCCAATAGCTGTTAGTCTACACCAAAAATCCGAAGCATATTAGGTCTTCAAGAAGTAAAGATTTGGTTATTATCAAATTATAATTAACAAATATCAGAGTATCTAATAGCTACTTTATATTTGTTCATTTAACCTGTGTCAATAAATAAGTTTTTAAATTTATGATATAAATAGCAAGAAGATCTAGAAGTTAATGAAAAGAAAATACTGAAAAATGAAAATTTATTATTATATATATAAACTAGCAAGACAAAGAAATATAAA